TCCCTGGTAAATAGGGACCGTTGGAGGATATACCATTCCTTTGTCTGGTTTAAAATATAGCTTAAGGCGGATTGATGTGGATATATCATGGGGGGAAGGGTTTCCTGTCACTGAGATCTTACCCTGAGATTTAATTCTGTGCTGTGAAGAATCTAAGGAGGAGGCTAACAGTGCAGTCTAGGGTTGCCAGGGGTGGGTGGGGTGGCCAGAACCAGGTTGGGAAAGTCCTGGAGATTTGGAGATGGAGTCTGGGGAGGGCAGGGACCTCAGTGGGATTCAATGCCATAGAGTCCTTCCTCCAAAAGATTCATTTTCTCCAGGGGAACTGGTCTCTGTAGTCAGGAGATGAGCTGTAATTCCAAGGGATCCCCAGGTCCCACCTGGAGGCTGGCATCCCTAGTGGAGTCCTAAGAAGCGTTACACCAGACTAAGCCCATTGACTTCAATGGACTTCGAAGGCTATATCTCTGCTTAGGATGGCACTGTAAATCTCCACAGCACCTAAAGGAATGCTTGTTCCCATATAAGTTAGCCCAACAGCTCAGGTCATATATCAAGGCCCTGCTGGGGTGTATCCACCCAGGCTTTCTGCTGGCGAAAAAGGAAGGATGTGTCCTCTTTGACTACTCAAAAGGCTATGCTGAGAATTGTGGTGTCTGCGTGTTCAAAAGCCACGTGGGAGGGGAGCTGTAGTATGGAGGAGAACTGGAGGAGATTGAGTGAATCCAACCCTGTGTGTGGATCCAAATCTGGCTGGTTCCAACTCTCTGTGTGCCCCCATCTTCAGATGTAAGGTGGACGTCTACTAGTGCTGGAAGCTTATTTAAGAAATCCCTTCCAACTGCCTAGCTGGCACTGGGTCTTTTCAGTTTCAGGTGCCAGGTCAGATTCTTGGTGTAGTAGTTGGTTTACTGGTTAAGAGCAGCAGACTCTAGTCTGGAGAACCGGGTTTGATTCCCCACTCCTCCACACGAAGCCAGCTGGGTGACCCTGGTTCAGTCACAGTTCTCTCAGAACTCTCTCAGCCCCACTTACCTCACAGGGTATCGGATGCGGGGAGAGGAAGGGAAGATGATTGTAAGCCGCTCTGAGACTCCTTCAGGGTAGTGAAAGGCAGGGTATAAAACCAACTCTCCTCCTCCTCCTCCCAAGGCACTTGACTGCTCAATTTGGTTAGTTTTATAGATCCTGCTCTATGGGAAAGATTGAAGGTCAAAGAAGACAGGGATGGCAAAGGATGAGATGGTTAGACAGTGTCATCGATGCAACGAACATGAAACTGAGCAAACGTCAGAGGACAGCGGAAGACAGGAGGGCCTGGCGAGATCTGGTCCATGGGGTCGCGAAGAGTCGGACTCGACTGTGCGACTGAACAACAACATAGATTTTTTCCTCCATTCCTTCTCTTTTTAAGAATGGATTGCATTATATTTTTAGATTTAATATTTGTCGATCGCCACGACCCAGGAACCTGATAGATGACAGGTGGCAATGTAAATCTATCAAAATAAAATATCCTTTTAAAACAGACAAAACTCTAAAACTTGGGAGTCAGCCCTTAAGATCTGGCAAGACTAGCAACAGCTAACCTGGGTTGGACTTTCAGATAAATGTTCCCAGTGTTCAAGGGATGGTCCCGCACTGCTAACAGCGCCCTGTCAATTTAATTTCTCCCTTTGAATTATTACTAATGGTATTTACCTTTGGACCAGTCACATCTTGATATGATTAACCATAGATCTGCAGATGGAGACTGATTTACAGTAATGAAAGTAGCTGAGGCCAGCCCCAGCTGCGAGCCAATTTTTTTTTCAAAACCTCCCTTTGCTCTCACAATTATAGGAATGCATTTTGCCTGAGCTCAGAGCAATTTCCTAGTTTACCCTTATTAAAAGGCGGAGAGACCGAGCCAAGCGCTGTGATTTATGAAACACGTGCTAGATTCATTAAAAACCTTAAAAGATTTAGTACATTTTTATCAAGGCTTTAAATCTGGGCAAGGGTTTAAAAACTTAATGCAGGGTGTATTTCATCCCCAGCATCTTTCTAAAATACTTATTTAAGAGCTGTAAAATTTGGATTGACAAATATTGCTGATATTTCATTACTTACTTTTATACTCTGGCATGGAATTCTTCTGACAGTTTTGGGGGTGTGTGTGTCTGTGTGTAAAATCTGTCTGTCATCTGTCTGTCTCTCCAATGGTATCTACATGGTATGAGGATCAACATTCTCTTTTCATTAACATTTTAAATATCTTTTTATATTTCTTTATAGTCCATTCAATGATCACACACACAAACATATATATTTCTGTACATTCCCTTGCTCTTTTTGCTGCTCTGTTTAGTCAAACATGCAGCCTAATAGAAAGCAGGTTGTTGTTGTTTTAAATTCGCCTGCAGACTTGTTAACCTTGGAAGCAAAAAGGCTAAGAATTTTTGCAAAATCCTCCTGTGGCATTGCACCTCCATGCTGACATCAGTTCAATATCAGTGCTGGGATCTGGCTGTGTACGAATGCATCTCCCTCTTACAAAGTTAGGCTACAATTCTGCAGAAATTTGAAACCTACTGATCTTCATCCAGGTCCCCCCTAGCTCAGAATCTCAGCCTGAATTTGCTGTATCTTCTGATCACTCAAGAGCCAGGAACACTCCAGGGACCTAGTTTCTTAACCAGTATGGCTAGAACAAAACCCAGCTGGCCCAGAAATGAGAGTTGTGGATTTGAATCCGGAAGAAGCTTTGCCTGGGATGACAGGATGGCTCAGTATGGGCCTTTCCAGCTCAGGTTATTTGTTTCCGATTATGGAATCAAGATCTTCAACCTGACGGAACCAGTATCCACAAATCACATAAGCATGTCCCTGCCAATATTACCATGGAAGTTACTAATGTGGCAGCTATACAGTTGATTCATCCTGCTCTGCCAGTTTATCAGCAGTCGGGATTGGATCACATCTCTTCAGATTGGATCTTTTCCTCTTGATAATGGATCTCTGACCCACTTGCGCTTTGCATGGCTATGCCGTTGGGCCTCCTTTTGCAAAAACACTTCCTCATCTCAGGGTCTTCTTCTGCCAAGCCATACATGACACAGGAGATTTGTAACCAGATCATCTGATCACCCATGGAATTGCCATATAATAAGTCAGACCACTGGTCTATCAAGGTCAGTCTTGCTTACTCTGTCTGGCAGTGTCTTCTGGTAAAGGTGGTTCACATTGCCTGCAGTGCTACCTGATCCTTTTGCCTGGAGATGCCAGGGACAGAACCTGGGACCAGTGAGGCCAGGAGGTCCTAACCTGTCTTTTGCTGTGGTGAGGCCAAGCAAGGCAAGGGTGGACTGGAGGTGTGTCATATTCCAAGCCATAGTGAACCCTCCTTCCCGGCACTTCCACCTCGTGCCTGCCACTCTCTTTGGACTAGGTGACCCTGGCCAGGGGTGGCTCCCAGCTGTTCCTGGTGGCCTTAATGGCCAATCTGTGGCTGCTCCTGCTCTATGGAATTTGCTCCGCCATAGGATGAGAGAGCACCACTTGTGAAAATTTAGGAAGCTAGGTAGGCTGCTTTACTCACTAGAGCTTTTATCAGAGGATAGCTGAAGGCACTTAATTAGGTGCGTGGGGAGAGTCTGTGTGTTATTCTTGTAATTATGCATTGTATTGTGAACCACTGAGCAGGATATAAATGTTTTTTATAAACAAACACTCAGAGCACCTCATTTCATTTGACAGGGTTAATCTGTTGCCATTTGGGAGAGACAATGCACACCTCAATGGACCAATGTCGTTATTTAGTATAAAGCAAATTCCACATGTTCACATGTAGGTCAGAAAAGAAAGCAAGTATTTTAACCACTGATGTAGCACATTACTGTTTTCTTCCAGGTGTCCTGGTACAATCTGAAATTTAGGGCTAATGTTTAAGGAACAATGCGAACAGCCAATAACAGGGCTTGAAGTAGATGCAGAACTTCTGCATCTGTGGTTGCCAACCTCTAGGTGGCAGCTGGAGTACACCTGTGGTTGCCAACCTCTAGGTGGTAGCTGGAGACATACTGGGATGCAGGGCTTTTTTTGTAGAAAAAGCCCAGCAGGAACTTATGAGCATAACAGGTCACATCCAACAGCAGATACTCATTAGCATATTAGGCCACACCCCATGCCTTCCCTTGGTTTGCCTGGGTGCCCCACAGCTGCAGGGAGCCCGGGCAAATTGGCCCTTGGACAGGCTGGGGAAGGCATGGAGAGGTATTTAAATGCCTCCCCGATCCTGCCAGGGCCCACCTGCCTTGGAGTTGCAGGGGGGGGGGGTCGCTCTCCAGGCTTTCTCTCTGTAGCCATGCAGGCAGAAGTTTTGGCTGTAGTGGGCATGGCCAACTCTGAAGCCAGCCGGAACTTCGTTCCTGCCCAAAAATAGCCCTGCTGGGATGACAACTGATCTCCAGGCGACAGAGATCAGTTTACCTGGAAAAAAATGGCTTATTTGGAAAGTGGACTCTATGACATTATATGCCCCACTGAAGTCTTCCCCCCCCCCAATCCTGCCCTCCTTAGGCTGCACCCCCCAAATCTCCAGGTATTTCCCAGACGGGGAGCTAGCAACCCTATCTGCACCCGTTCTGACCCGATAAGTGAAAGTACTATTGTATCTGAAACGAGGACGACACAAAGAGGCCCCGTGTCCGTTTCATGATTATGAAAAAAGAATCGTGGTTTTTTTTTTAATTCACGGGTCCCTAAACTATTTCCCAAACTCTTGCCTCCTGTGTGGCCACAGTTCAGACGTTACACGCGGAAAGGAAAGGAAAAGACTTTCGCGCCGCGCGATGAGCGAGATTCAAAGAGACCCACCTCCGCCTGCTCCCCGCCGCCCTCTGCTGGAGCCAGAGCTGGAACTGCAGCGCAAAAGAACGGAGGAAGGAGAGGGCGGGGACAATTTAGCCAGTTGCATGAAGGCGGCGAGTAGTGACGGCGTCACTAGAGCGACACCCGGAAGTGGCGGTGAAACAGGAGCAGGCGGTTGTGGTGAGTGTAAGAGGCGGAGGCTGCGCTTCCTGCTTCCCTCGTGGCTGTTGGGCTCCCCAGGCGGAGTTCGCGTTCTCCTCTCGTTTGTAGGACTTCTCTCTTCCTTCCCTCCCCGCTTTGGCCAAATCCGTGTCGGAGGGATTCTGGGCCTCCGTGTTCTTTCGTGGAGCCCCCAGCCCTCTTGTATTCTCAAGCCTATTTAGTTCTCTTATTTACTTTTGACTCTTTTAGGCCCAGAGCCACGTGCTTCATTTATGGCGTAGCTAGGCCTCCTTACTTTCCTTGTGCCTTTTTCCAGTCGCCTTCTGCTCCTGTTAGGAGGGGAACCCTAAGTGCGACCCGTTAGGCGTCTTCTCTGTTTTGCCCCTGCAACAGATGAGGTTAGGAGGCAGCAGCTAACTCAGGATCATTCACAAGCTTCATCGCACACTGGAGACTTGAACCTGGACCCCCGTCCTAGCCCAGGATCCTAATAATAATATACGGGCTGTTGCCAAGACTGTTTTCATAGTGTTGATTCTGCCCTGTTCCAAGCCCCTCCTGCTCCTTAAGGTGCAGACCCTAAATGGGGCTCTTCATACATAGTTTAGCCTGTCTGCCTATATTATTGTCTTCCAATTGTTCAGGAGCTCAAGGTGGTGCACATTGTTCTCCTCTCTCACTTAATTCTCACAACAACCCTGTAAGGCAGGTGAGCTTGAGATGGTTCAGCAGAATGAAGCCATTCTCCAGCTTCTTAAAGGACAGGACTGCAATGATTTTTTTTAAGCTTCATATATTGCCTAGCAATGTCTGATAGAGGGGCAGTGTTGTGTCAGAGTACATAAACTGGTCTGAGTGTGTTTCGAGATGTGACAAAGCTGTGGTAGGTATCGTGTGCTGTAGCAAAACCTGTTTTATTTTGCATGTCTTTCTACCCCATGTTCTTGCCCTTATCTACTCTTTTTGGTGTTTGTTTATGGCACTGTCAAGCCTGTGTCCTGCTTCTCTGCTTCCCAGTACTCTCTCTTTATATTTGTTAGCATTTCATGGATGAAAATAGGGACAAGGGTGTGCTGGTAAAACCAGTTTTTAAACCAAAGATTAGGTTTGTACTCTTCCCCCTCTCTGACAGATATTGGCATAAGCATTTCTGCCTGATGTATGCTGTATTCATTGCTTTTGCAAGAGCCTGCCCTTTGGCAGCTTCAGAAACAGGGTGTGGTCCTAAATGGACCATAACTGTTAAGGCTTTTATTGTTTCAGTGGATCTCGTATCTATTATAAAATAACTGCAATCAAACATTCAGTTGCATTTACTGTTTGAAGAACTTCCTTTCAATTACACTTACCATCTGGAGAAGCAGTTATATGCAGGGAATGAAAGGGGAAGTATTGCACTGGGGTAACTTGTGGGCATGTATTCAAATACATCTTGGCTTTAGTATAAATGAAACTGCTGTCTTTCTTCCCTACCCTACTTAAATTCTGGAGAACTGAATCTGGAAGAATTGTAGTGTGCACGCTTTCCCCCACTCAAAGGTTTCTTCTGAATTGCCTGTAAGAGCAAAGTTGGTATGATGTTATACTAGGGCTATATAATAGGAAATTAGGGGTGGTCCCTGGTAAGTAGGAACAGTTGGAGCAACCATCTTTGCTTTCTTGCTCTTTGGTGGGCAGGCCTGCTTTCTTCACTTAATGGCATAGCAGAATCATCCTGTTTTATGATCTGTCTGTCCCAGAAGAACTTTAGTCAGTATGCTTTCTGGATGCCAGGTACACACCCTGAGAAGGGCTGTTCTTCCTTTAAGGTTGGCATAATAGAGAGAACTACAGCAAGTTCTGGCTGTTCAGAACACAGAGAATGCAGCCATTGTAGGAGAAGCTGCTTCTAGAGAGCCAGTTTGCTGTAGTGGTTAAGAGCGGTGAACTCTAATCTAGTAAACTGGGCTTGATTTCCCACTCCTCCACATGAAGCCAGGTGGGTGACCTTGGGTCAGTCACAGTTCTCCCGGAGCTCTCTCAGCCCCACCTACCTCACAGGGTGTCTGTTGTGGGGAGAAGAAGGGAAGGTGATTGTAAGCCTCTCTGGGACTCCTTCGGGTAGTGAGAAGTAGGGTATAAAAACCGCCTCTTCTCCTGCTGTCCATTCTTATAGTTCAGTTAAACATATGACCCTGCCTAGACAGAGTCCAGTGATGTAGCCCTAGTACTGATTCTTGATTGGTAACTGCAGCAGCTCTTCAGAACTGCAAGCAGAAGTCTCTCCCAGCCCTGGTACCTAACAGCCAGCATGTTTGTAATGCACTGCTTTGGTTACAAATGATGAATTGTGTGGTGTACTCAGAGTGGTAGATGGAAGCACATGGATAGGTGTAGTGGTCATTGGGTTTTCAGTATGATCTGTCTGCCCTAGTTGCACAGTTCTGTCCAGAAACATGTGGTCCAGTCCATGCTTAGTTTGGTGTTGAGGTGAAAGTTGCTGAAGTGTTGGATGGAATCTTTGAAGAGCTTCCTCCCCATCTATCCAGATGGTGAAAATGTGCCTGATCGACCTCAGAGGAGAAGTGTCACTGGGTAGGAGCTGAGGAAATGCTACTGTAAGTCAGCCAGTAACATTTGCATACTCTGGAGCCACGTGGCTACTCACAGCTAGGTCATTAAACCCAAAGGTAGAAGATGTTTCCAAATCTGAAGTAATGTTGAGTGAGGACAAAGTAACAAAGCTTGGTAGCAAGGTGTGTTGTGTTATTCGATCATATACACACACACTACTTTTTACCTTGATGGGACCCCAGAGCGTCTTAGAAAGTAATTGTCTCTTCCTCCATTTAATCATTGCAACAACCCTGTGAGGCAGGTTACAGAGAGAGAGTCTCGACCAAAGTCACCATGCAAGCTTCGTGGCTCCATGGGGATTGAGCCTGGGTCTCCCAGATCCTAGCCTGACACTCTGACCTCTATAACTACACTGACTCTTATTTAACATAACTGATACAAAAACATATCTGATTACTTCTCAGTTTCAGCCAAACATTGTCATTTAAGCAGCCCAGACTTATATTGGATTTACTACTTCTTTCAGTGCTGTTCTCTCAGGAGCAGTCCTCAAAAGAGCTCTCTCAGCCCCACCTACCTCACAAAGCGTCTGTTGTGGGGAGGGGGTGGGGAGGGGGAGGGAAAGGAGATTGTAAGCCGCTCGGGTAGGGTAGAAATCCACTCCTCCCTCCAATCCCTGTGAGCACAAGGCTCTGGGCCACACACACCCAATCCCTGTGAGCACAAGGCTCTGGGCGATGTACAGCAGTTAAAAACAATATTAAAATCAATAAAATATATATCAGTTATAGAATCTCAAATGGCATCAATATTTCTTCTTGACCCACTTCGGACTATGCTGCCATTTCACGGGTAGGGCAAGGAGGAGGCCAAAGTGAAAAGGGTGCCAGCTATGAAGGAACCGTTGCTGTCCTCAGCCAAAGGCCTGGTGGAACATCTCTGCCTTACAGGCCCTGCGGAATCGCATCGATTCTTAAAGGGGCCTCGGGGTATTTGGCAGAGAATTCCACCAGGTCAGAGCCAAGGCCAAAAAAGTCCTGGCTCTGAGGACAGGGATCAGCAGTAGGTTGTTTTCCACAAGAGCATAATGCTCTCCGGGGACATACCAGAGTAGGCAGTAACCTTTGGCATTTCAGTATCTTTCCACAATTTTGCAATGCAAAATTTAGCTATTTCTAATTAATATCAAACAAAATAATCTTTCTTTTCAAACAGGTTCTTGGAAAATACTGTAAGTCCCATCCCCATTCCCCCCCACCCCGGTTGATACAGCTGGTTTTGACTTCTGCAGCTTGGTTGAAGAGCAGTGTTGCCTTTTGCATTGGATGGCCATATTTGCCCAAGTGGTCCTCTACCAAAGGACTAAAAGCCATGGAAAACACGGCAGTTTATTGTCCCCTTGTGCATCAGGAGCCTGATTGTTTTCGGAGATGACTGTTGCAAAATAGCTGGCTCTTATTGTTCTTCAGACTCAAGACTACAGTCTTATTTACTTGGTTAGTTATACTCCGTGTCTCTCTCCCCTGGGGACTCAAAGGTGTTTACAACATTGTTCTCCCTTCCTCCATTTTTCCTCCCTTGCAGAGGAGGTTAGGCTGAACGAGAGTGGCTGAAGGTCACCCAGCTCCTCTGGCGGAGTGCGGATTTGGACCTGGTTCTCCTAAATCCTTGTACAACATTCTGATCACTACTGTCTCTGGCTCTCCAGTCGCAAAGCACCAGATTCTTGTTCATTGCAGAGCTGCTCCAACTTACTGAAATGGACTTTGCCTGTTGTGCAATCATAGCTGTTGTGGTTATGCATTAGGTCAGTTGTTTGAAACGGTTGGCATTGTGGGTACAGTTCTTTTGAGAACACTGATGTTTTTGTAGGTTGTGTGAATTAGCATCACAGGAGTTGCCTGCATGAGGATTATAATATGCATGAATCCAGGAATTGTGAGCTAAAGTTGCAAGGAATGGTCTGGAAATGTGTATTGCTCCATTATAGCTACTGCAAAGGTTGAGATGTTGTACTATTAACCTTGCTCCTTCAGGCATGAGAAGTCCTGTTCATCCACCTTGTATCTTGTTAGATCTCACCAGGTACTGCCTGTATATTTTGAACCTTATTTTTTTGGTGCTGTGGCCACTAGCAGCTAGCAGTGAATAAATAAAGATGATTAGGATATTGAACTTGGACCAGCAGGTTGTAGTTTGCTGTGATTCACACATAGAAATCTCCCTGTACGTTCTGATGTATGGGGGCCCTGTGCTGTGTTCCTCCACGGGGCCATTTCAGTGGTAGCACCAAGACTGAAGGAAATCCTGCCCCCCCCACCAAGGACTGACAGGCTCCAGCTTTGCTGTCACTTAGATGTAAGGCTAAGACAGTGCTGTTTTGGAAGGCTTTGGTGGTGCAGGGGTTAATGGATGGATGCTGTCTTGCATTTCCTTATGGTATTGGATTGCTGATTTTGTAGGCTGTTTGTTTTTCTGGTGTCCCGTGGCTCAGATGTGTTTGTTTTCTCTTTAACATGAGTATTATCTTGGTGTGTTCACTGGTTTTATCTGGTTATGACATTCATGATGTTTCAGTACTTGCAGTGAACTGCTTGACAGACCCACATAGGTTAAAAAGTAGGATATGAATACCCGAAGTACACATTCAGGGAGGATAGGTCAGTGAAGATTTGTTAGGCACGATAAACCTCCTGGTAAACGAAGCTCAGCATTCCCTGACAGCATGGCTCCAGAAGAGTTACCTATTAGGCAGGATAAACCTGACAGCATGGCTCCAGAAGAGTTACCTTCACTCTTTTGAGGTAGAACAAAGTTTGAGTCCAGCGGCACCTTTTGAGGTGTGAAACTCCCTTTTGGCCCCAAGCGGCTTCATGGAACCAGCTTGGCCAGCAGGAAGTCACTTGACAGCCACAGGCTCCAAACCTGCCTGCGCCTGAAAGACACTTTCTCCACTGCTTGAGTACGCTTGCCTCCCTGTTCTGCTGCACCCCTTGGAGTGCATGCAGAAGGTTCATGGCACCCTTGCACTCTGCATGTACGCTTAAGCAGCAGGTCCTTCCAAAAAGTGTGTTTTTTTTGGGGGGGGGGGTTTACAGCAACTATATAGGGATTTGCAACCCCAGGAGAGAGGGATGTGAGATCCACCCAAGGGTGCATGGGTGGAAGGCCAGAAGACCAGTTGCTAGGGGCAAGGGAGGTCTCTTTCATGCTGTATAAGCTGCCAGATATAATGGATTGGCTTGCGCTGGATGCAGTGTGCCAGCCTGGATGGATCTCAGCTTGATCTAGGAATGAAGGGGCATTCTTGAAATATAATTCCTTACTCCTTCATCGAACTCTGCCCCAGAGCAGGACATCCTGCACCCCAGGTTCACCGCCCCGCCCCCCCAGAACAACAGGTCTGGTGTCTCACAGCATTCCAAAGCGCTCCAGAACTAACCAAATGCTTTCCCCCCCTTCTCTTTCTCCCCCAGGAGCTATTCTCAGGGATGAGTCAGCTGGGTGCCATAGCAGCTCTAGCTGCCAGCCTGGTGGCTGCTGCTCTTTTTTCTGCAATACACAAGATCGAAGAAGGGCACACTGGCGTTTACTACCGGTATGTGCATGGGCTGGGCGGGAGTGCTGCTGTTTGTGTGTGATGAGCCAGTGCGGGGTAGTGGTTAGCATGTCAGGCCAAAACCTGGGTTGAGATCTTTGCTCGGCCTTGTAACTCACTGGGTGGCCTTGGGCCAGGCACTTGCCTCTCAGGGTTGTTGTGAAGAGGAGTGCCGCAGCCCTGCCCTCAGAGGAAGGGGAGAATGAAAGCGTGACACCTGTGTGATGTACTGGCAGAGGACTCAGGGGGACTGAGGTGGTGGTGGGGAATCTTATCCCCTCCTCTGGCTATACTTCCTTCCCATATGCTGTCTCTGCTTTCCTTCTTCCTCTTCTTCCTTTCCCTCGCAGGCTTTGCAGCTTCTTCGCTTTCCCTGCTTCCTTCCTTCCCTGCATCCCCCTTTTGTTCTGTTTTTCTTTCTTCCCTCTCCCCATCTTCTGCTGTGCCCTTCCTGCTTGCCCACTTCTCTTACCCCCACTCCATAACTCACCTCAGCTTTCAGAATGAAACTTCAGCAGCCATTTTGAACAATCTAAATTGGCAGAGACTGATCAAGAGAGAGATCTTGGAGTTGTAGTAGATAACTCACTGAAAATGTCGAGACAGTGTGTGACTGCAATAAAGAAGGCCAATGCTATGCTGGGGATTATTAGGAAGGGTATTGAAAACAGATCAGCCAATATCATAATGCCCCTATATAAATCAATGGTGCGACCTCATTTGGAATACTGTGTGCAGTTCTGGGCACCACACCTTAAAAAGGATATTATAGCTTTGGAAAAAGTGCAGAAAAGGGCAACTCGAATGATAAAAGGGTTGGAACACTTTCCCTATGAGGAAAGGTTAAAGCGCTTAGGGCTCTTTAGCTTGGAGAAACGACGACTGAGGGGTGACATGATCGAGGTTTATAAGATTATGCATGGGAAAGAGCAGGTAGAGAAAGAGGTACTTTTCTCCCTTTCTCACAATACAAGAACCCGTGGGCACTCCATGAAATTGCTGAGCGGTCGGGTTAGAACGGATAAAAGGAAGTACTTCTTCACCCAAAGAGTGATTAACACTTGGAATTCACTGCCACAGGAAGTGGTGGCGGCTACAAGCATGGACGGCTTCAAAAGGGAATTAGATAAGCATATGGAGCAGAGGTCCATCAGTGGCTATTAGCCACAAAGTATAGATAGGGGCTCTGGGGCAAGTGATGCTCTGTCTTCTTGGTGCTTGGGGGGGTCAACAGTGGGAGGGCTTCTAATGTCCTGGCCCCACTGGTGGACCTCCTGATGGCACCTGGTATTTCTGGCCACTGTGTGACACAGAGTGTTGGACTGGATGGGCCTTTGGCCTGATCCAACATTGGCGTCTCTTATGTTCTTATGAATAATCTAGGCAACTGCAGACTGTTTTCTGAGGTTGCCTAGGCAATCCAAAGTGGCTGCTAAGACCTTAAGAAGTTTTCTTGCACAACCTCAGCTCCCTCCATTCCCCCCAAAAAACCCTGAAGGTGTGCCCCCTGATTTCTAGAAACGTCTCCTCATTCTCTGCATGGCTTCACTGTGTGAAGTATTTTATCTGCACTCCTGAGGCTAGGTTCAGAACTGGATGCATAGATATGTGTGTGGTCTGAAAGAACTGGGGATGGTTCAGATCCTTAATCATGATAAATTCTGGTTTGTTTGGTATTTTTGCATTTTTGTGTGGGTGCCCCCGTGCCTGGAAGTCATGGCAACCTCTGGCGACGCCTACGAGAGCACAGAGAACATTCAGAGAAGTGGCTTGATAGCCTGCCTCTGGCCTCCCGGCCCTGGTATTCTCTGGAGGTCTCCCATCCAAAATCTTGCCAGGGTCTGCCCTACTTAGCTTCTGAGATCTGATGAGATCAGGCTTGCCTGGGCTATCCAGGTCAGGGCGATACACCCTGGTTTGTTGACGTAGCAAATTTTTCTTTGTGCTCTCCAGTCCAAGGGATGAGACTCTCAGATGGGTGGTGGAGCCTCATCTGCTCGGTTGGGAATCCCAGCAGAGGCACCACTTTTGCCTTTGAAAGGACCTTTTGTAAGGGCCTACTGTTGGTGCACATAGATAAAGGGCGGGTCATGCTTCCAGCTATTCTTTGCATGCTTGCTGGTAGGAGCAGCAAGGGGAGGTTAGTCAGTGGTACAGAGAATTCCTCTTCAGCTCGCTGACCCTTGGCTTATTCCTTGTTACGGGACATTCGTTGAAGCTCAGCTTGCATTTCCTCTCCTGGTTGCCTCAGTTTGCTTATCATACATTCTACCATTTTGCAGCTTTACTACCTCATTCTGTTGTATAGATAGACCACATCTCTCTGTGTGCGTGGTGGTGACTTAGTGGACTGATGGTTATCGCTAAGAAAACCATTGTGCTGTGATATAAACGGAGGATGTAGTTTCTTTAGGTTTGATGAGTCCAAAATCAGCAAGGGAAAGGGCTCTGTGTTAGAGCCCATGGCTTGTATGCAGAAGATCCCAGATACACTTCTTGGCATCTTCAGTTTGCAAGACCTTGGGTAGGATTGCTTGAAAAGATTTCTCTCTGAGGTTTTGCGAACTTTCTCCCAGTTGGCAGAGGCAATGCCAAGCTATATGGACGAGTGGTAATAAGGTAGTTCATATGTTCAGCACATTACATTACACTTAGAATGTAATGGGAACAATGGTGGGAGAGGCTCACATCAGTCAGTGTTCTCTCTCTCTCTCTCTCTCTCACACACACACACACGTCAGCAGATAATCTGCATTAGGTAAGACTTGCAAATGCGCACCAAGGGCAGCCCCATAGAAGGCGCATTGTGGTAGTCCAGCTTTGACTTTACAAATGCATTACCAGTGGTTGCTAAGCCCGGATCTAATAAAAGTTTGCCAACATCTCACCAGACCACAAAGTGTGTGACATGAGGCTGAAAGGTATGAGCAGATATTACTTGCTTGAAACCTTAGGGGTGGAGATGGTGGGTAGTCATTCATAATTAATGAAATGATATAATTCAATTCAAACTTAATACAGAGCATAAGCATACCGGAGATTCTGAAGACTGGGAACAAGACAGATTTTATTGTACTGGTCTGCAAATCTGAAAGGGGTATTTCATCACAAATACATTACTACTGATAGAAGGCAGGGATGAGTGAGGCAGATGGGTATTTTATCACAAATACATTGCTACTGATAGAAGGCATGGATGAGTAGCTGTTTGGTGAATGGCATTGGGGTATTTCATCACAAATACATTACTACTGATAGAAGGCAGGGATGAGTAGCTGTTTGGTGAATGGCATTGCATTTCTGGTGTCTGACACTTGACCGAGAGTTGTAGCATTCTCTGCTTAAACATACGCACGTCTCTCTGTTTTTTCCACTACAGGGGAGGAGCTCTCTTGACCTCCACCAGTGGGCCTGGCTTCCACCTCATGCTTCCCTTCATCACCTCTTATAAATCAGTGCAGGTACCTTTCTCAGTGATCTTCCTGAAGGAACGTACCCATGCTAGTTCTCATTATGCCTTTGTGGTTCCCATCCGCTTTTATCCCATCTTGCTCTGCTGGCTGCTGGCAGCTGGGTGGTGAGTGACTGGGGATGTGCATCCCGTGCTTATTTCTCTTCCACGATGGCAGGTGTTCTCACTGTCATAGGGCAGAGAGGGGATGCTGCATAACATGGGCAACATTTTTTTGGGGGTGGGGCATTTTTCAAACTTTAGCATTCCATACCTACTCCTGTCCCTCCTGTATAAGACGGCTTTTCAACCGTTTTGGTGGATATCACAGTTGCGTAACATGGGCAACATTTTTTTGGGGTGGGGCATTTTTCAAACGTTAGCATTCCATACCTACCCCTGTCCCTCCTGTATAAGACAGCTTTTCAACCGTTTTGGTGGATATCACAGCAGGTGGGAGCACAGATTGTGCCCTGGAAACAGGGACTGTGGCAAGGAACTTGTACTAAAGAGGATCATTCCCATCTTCTAGTACTTTGAGAAACTGTATACAGTCCCACATTTTAAAAGCATTTAGGCAAAACTGCCTGCTTGTGTAGATTTTCTTCATGACCTTGAGGACTAGAAACATGCTCCTTTCTAAAAAGTCTTTGCCAGCCTCTGTAAGTGCTCAAAGCACCATCTAACCAAATATCTATTTATAGTAGCAGGATCTTGGCTAATGAGCATGCCAGCAACACAGAGCGTGTGCAAACCTGGCAACACCTTCTTTTTAGAGTATTTGGGGCAGCTGGGTTGGCTAATATCCATTTATAGTAGCAGGATCTTGACTAATGAGCATGCCAGCAACGCAGAGCGTGTGCAAACCTGGCAACGCCTTCTTTTAGAGTATTTGGGGCAGCTGGGTTGGAGAGCAGAGTTGAGATTTTCCAGTTTCTCCAGCAGCTGCCATAAGGTGCTTGGGAACCTAGTGACCTGCAAATAACAGGAAGAGTGGAAAATAGAGCCAGTTTGGTGTGGTGGTTAAGTGCGCGGACTCTGGGAGAACCGGGTTTGATTCCCCACTCCTCCACTTGCAACTGCTGGATGACCTTGGGCAAGCCATAGTTCTGGCACAGCTGTTCTTGAAAGAGCAGTTCTCAAAAAGAGCTCTCTCAACCCCTCACAGGGTGTCTGTTGTGGGGAGGGGAAGGGAAAGGAGATTGTAAGCCGCTCTGTGACTCCGAGTGAAGGTCGGGGTATAAATCCAATCTCCTCCTCCTCTTCTTCTTCTCTATATGTATATAGACTGCTTTTCTCTCTAGCAGGGACCCAAAGTAGCTTACAATGCAGGAAGAAGAACCCAGAAACAAACAGGAAGGGGTTGGGAGGCATCTTGAGTACTAGGTGAACCTTCCCTCCTTCTGCTAGTGGATTTTCTACCCAGCTATAGGCTACAGCCTTCTAGCTAAGAGCCAAAAGATGATAGCCCTTTTAGCTCCTGTCCAAAGGGTCATACTTTTGAAGAGAACAAACTTCATTGCAAGCTAGCAGGATCTTCCCCTGCCGGAAGTACAACAGAACTTAACCATCACAGGCCTTCTTGAACTTTACTCAGTCAGGAGAATGAGTGTTTGCAGTGGGTGGGTGAACTTGCTGCTCGGATCCCACATTTGTTCTCCCCACATAGTACAGCTGAAAAGGCTATTCTGAGGGTGCAAAGCAGATAAAGTTAGAAAGCAATCGCCTTCTCGTGTCCAGTGTCAGTCGTTTCATTTTGGCATAATTTCAGCGTGAAAGGCCCTCAAATAGTGTTTGGTGTTGCAGATGACAGTAAGATTCCCAGAATGCACTTGCCCTTTGCCTGCCCAGAACTTATCTGACACCCACACTTTTTTCCCCCTTATCTGAATAGGATCCAAACCTTGTCTTCAAACAGAGCTCTGCACATTTTTTCCAAGGGAGCTTATCTTTTAGATTCAGATTCTGTCAAGCCTGCTGAACGAGTTTGGCTTGTGCCTTTTTTGTTGAGCAGTCTTTGGATAGAGGCGTTTGGGTCGCTCTCTCAGCTCTGCCAAGTGCCAGATAAGGGCCGGGGGAATCGATAGCAGCAGATTTAGTTGGATTGTGGCTGAGCAGGAACGATCAAGGGGGAGGAAGAGCTGGCTGGTTCGAGTATTTGATTTTTCTTTCTCTTTTTTTGCATACAATGCAGAAGTGCTGCTTAGCTGAGCAGAAGCAAAACTCTCCGGGTTCTTTCTGATTCTTTTGCTTTCTATTCCAGACAACATTGCAGACAGATGAAGTAAAGAATGTTCCGTGCGGTACTAGGTGAGCTGTGACGTGGCAATCAGTCTGCCCCCTTTTACTTTCGTCCTGCCACAAAGAGAAGCCGGCGTTGCATTTGGAATCCTGGGCTGTTTTTTTAAACTTTTAATCTTTATTTAATACAAGCAAGTGCATATAACATCAGAAATATGGCTTAACTGGTACATGTGATAAAACTTACATAGCAAACAGTGTAGATGTGATATTAAGAAAAAACAGTTTGACTAAGAACTTCATCAATACAGCACCTCCCCCTCGTCATCCGTATATCTAAGAGTCAACATGGCCCCGTCCGAGGAAACTTACATCTGTGGTTCAGGGCCCTGTGGACAGAAGGGAAACTTCCCCCCACACACAAACTTGCAGAAAAATCTAAGAGTTTTTTAAAGAAGGGTGTGTGTGTTATTGTACAGATCCCCAGAACACAGGATTATGTCTGCACAACTGCAGATGACGTAAACTTAACAGCTGCAGGGATGGGAGGAGTAGCTGACCTCATACACCCTGATGCAGCCCATTTTTGTCACTCTTCTGAAGGCTGGTGAGTGGGGACGAAGACCAGGAGGTGCCACCACCACCACCACCACCCCCTCTGCCAAGTGGCAGGGAGAAGGACAGATGGGTGGGCTGGGGAGGAGTGGGAGCCACTGCAGCCCCCGCCTCTGGAGAAGTTGTGGAGGGACAGCAGTACAGCTGGGTGTGGAAGGAGCTGCTAATGCTACCCTCCACTGCTAGGAGCTTGTGAATGGATGGTTGGACCAGGCTGGTGATGGGGGGGGGGAATGGCAGTGCTGTTGGCAACTGGCATGCCATGCAAGTGGCTGGCCCAGTGGGCAAGCAGGGAAGTTTGTGATTTTCCCCCGTGCAAGTCTTGCATGTCCCCACTTGTAAGAACGTAGAGAAGCACTGTTGGATCAGACCACAGATCCATCTAGGTTAGCATTCCTGTTTCCCACACTGGCTTGCCAGATGCCCACAAGCAAAGGTGCAAAGCAGCTCCTGGTTTAAAAAAAAAAGATTTCCAAGAAGAGAAACTGCACATCTCTAGACCTCTTAGAAGCAGTTTATGTCATCTCATGGTTCCAAATGTTCCTGGCAGGGAAATCCAAGGCACAGGAGTTGTTTGCAAACTGCTTTTCACAAGACAAATCTGAAGATCCCCGTACCTGCCACTAGATGGCATCCTGTCCTTCACTTGCCCACCCATCCTGAATCCAGGGTGCTGAACTCATTGGTTACAAGGGCCGGATCTGACAAAAATGCCACTTTGTCAGACCAGGCTGTGTATGCCATAAAATGGAATGCCAGATACCGGAGATGTAAACTTTATAAAGGACACAGGCAACCCCAATGGACAATATAATTTTTACTCAAAATACAAACATGCTTTAAACATTAACACTCTTACAGTATTTCCTTAAAGTATCTCCCTGATGCCCGCCCTCCCACTTCCACTGCCCACTACTCATTAGCACTAGGACAGTATCCAGGGACATAATGCACAGCCTCTATCATCTGGCAATAAAGATAACGACCAGTTGCTTGTGGGCTGGGTAAGAGCCGTGGATGGACCGGTTCTGGCCCGCAGGCTGTATGTTTGACACCCCTGCTGAAGGTAGTAATTGTTCTACTGCTGGCTTCAGCAATCCGCATAGCCCGCAAAGACCTGTTTATAAAAATGACTGAATATAAATGCTGAATACTCCTGAAGTTGATTTGTTGTAATTTTTTTAAACTCTGGCTTGATGGGAGAAATAACTAGCTGCAAATTCATGTGACCATGAGAGGAATGATCTCTTACTTTAGCGATAGACCACCACAGAGCCTTCCTACGTGGTCTGCAGGAAAACTTTGAAGCGGCCTGTGGCTTAGGTAATTTGATTTGTTCCCCCTGTATTCTGTTTGCAGCATCTTCAAAGGCTAGCAACAGTGTCATCGGATTGCTAATAAGAGCCAGCAGATTTGCATGTGAAATTTGCATAAGCAATTTTCTTTTGTTTTCAGTGCAGCCAGGCAACAAGCTTTGAAATGCTGGAAATTGAAACCAGGTTGATCTGTAGAAGTGCTCCGTTCACCTGGGTCATCAGAGCACCTCTAACAATAGAACAATTCTGCAGATTGAATCCAGCCAGGGTTGTTTTTTTCTTTTACTCCGTCTCATCCACTGCCTTTGTAAAAACCGAAATGACTGAATTGGGTATCATAAGACAGACATCTCACCTGTTCTTGGTCAGCTGCATTTTTTGAGAGTGCATCTTTGCAGAATCTATCTGTTTCCAAACCTGGCTCCTGATCTATTCCAATCAAATCATCTTATTTGGTGCTTAACCCCTGCTCTCTCTCTCTCTCTCTCTTTTGCAGCGGGGGAGTAATGATCTATTTTGACAGAATCGAGGTGGTGAATTTCCTGATCCAAGGTGCTGGTGAGTGAACAAGGCCAAGTTGTGCTTCCCCTCCTTCCTAGGCTGTGGCACAAAAAAATGTGCATGGATTATTGGGGCTGGAGTTACCACATTATTGGATAGGCACTTATGTCCCTACTGGTATTTCAGTACCCCTCATTAAGACTGACACTCCTTTGCTGGCCCTTGAATCAGCCTGTTGGAACACACAAAGAGGTGAAGTTGCCTTATACTGGCTGCGTTCAGCCATCAAGAATGAGTCATAGCTGGTAACGAGAAGGAGTCAAGAAGTTCATGGGCTCCCATCCTCTTCCCCTCTTGTATTGTGCCGTGATTAAAAAACTTCTTGATTCGTAACACATCCCAATTTGTTGCTGAACACACATGGAGCAGTCTTTATACCAAGTCAAACCATTGGTCTATCAAGGTCTGTAGGCAGAAGGTATCCAGGGTCTCATGCAGAGGTCTGACATCACTTGCTACCCACTGGAGAGGCCTGCAGTTTATTGGGAGAGGGGCACTGGCTTTGCACGCGGAAAGTCCCAGGTTCATACCCAGGTGCCTGCGGTTAAAAGGGTCAGACAGGAGATAATGTGAAGGAGATTATGAAAAGCTGCATCCAGTCAGAGCCAGTGTTCCCTCTAAGCTGAGTTAGTGTGAGCTAGCTCACAGTTTTTTAGCCTCCGGCTCACACATTTTTGTCTCAGCTCAGGAAGGATGGCTCCAGAACACACTAATTTATGCAGTAGCCAAATCACCTGCTCACAACTTTAATGCCGGTAGCTCACAAAGTAGAATTTTTGCTCACAGGACTCTACAGCTTAGAGGGAACATTGGTCAGAGCAGACAATACTGAGCTTGATAGACCAGCGGTCTGACTTGGGAGAAGCCATCTTTGTGTGCTAGAATCTGGGACGTTCTGCATGTGGAGCAGATACTCTTCTCCTCCCTCTTAATTTTAAGTCCTTTAAGCCAACCTCACCGTAGTGATGCCTTCAGACCCCCCCTGCAGTCCTCTGCTCTGCTACCTTGGCTATCAGAGGACTGACTTGGAGGTTCTAGAATAGGAGAGTGAAGTAGGATTGGCTCTCTTGGATTGCCCGCTTCTCAAAGTGAGAAGGATTTGAAGCAGCATGCTCTGTTACCTGGCCCCAGATAAACCCGTATTTTTGTCATCTGCCAGCTAGTGGTGCAGAGAATAGGGGGCAAGGACCCATCTCCTGGTTGGAGCCCTGGAACGTCTGACATTGGCAAAGCTGTGACAGGTGATATGGACCTCCTAACTCACTGCCCTCTTTTTTTTCTCACTAGTATATGATATAGTGAAGAACTACACTGCAGACTATGACAAAGCCCTCATCTTCAACAAGATTCACCATGAACTCAATCAGTTCTGCAGCGTTCACACACTTCAGGAAGTCTACATTGAGTTGTTCGGTGAGTGACTTGATGCAAAAGAGGTTGGCTGTAGAGCTCTTACCAGTGTCAGTTTGCTACAAGCTGAAGTTGTAAGGAACTCATTATCTGACTCCGTGTTTCTCATGGCCTGTTTGGCACCCGTACACACTCTTCATTGAACAATATGGAGGGGAATATGTCAAGGGGCTTGGGTGCGATTGTTGACATAGGTTTCGGGTTTTTAATTAGGAATCATAAGGAGCAAAGGAATCCTATTTCCTTTCTGTGCTAAATAAGAGGTTCTCTATTTTATCCTAGAATCCCAGGCCCATGTGGGCCGTAGGAAGGGCCGTGGACCTTCCATGGCCTGTTTGGCACCCGTACACACTCTTCATTGAACAATATGGAGGGGAATATGTCAAGGGGCTTGGGTGCATTTGTTGACATAGGTTTCGGGTTTTTAATTAGGAATCATAAGGAGCAAAGGAATCCTACTTCCTTTCTGTGCTAAATAAGATGTTCTCCATTTTGTCCTAGAATCTAAACTTAATCTGCCAGGCCCAAGTGGGCCGTAGGAAGGGCCGTGGACCTTCTTCAGTACATCTGCCAAGGCTGGACCACAGCAACTGACAGTGGTTTGGGTCACATATAATGGCAAGCGTGGCTTGGTGTTGCAGGGACAAGCACTGTGCCTACTCACTTCCTCCTCCTCTGGCATGGCCACAGCCTGTGAACAGTGTAGCGCAAACCAGTATTTGCCATTACATCTGAACCATTACTGCAGTTTGTGCTTTCTCTCCTAGTCAGGATTGCAAACCGCTGTTTGAAGCTGATTTCTTAGTTGGGGAGGGGGATGAATGCCTCGTAGCAGCCAATGACGCTGTGCGCTCAAGGGACAGCGAAAGATTTCAGTCCAGTAGCGCCTTAAAGACCAGCAAGCTTTCCATGGGATCTGACAAAGTAAGCACTGACTCTCAGAAGCTCATGCCCCCAAAATCTTGTCGGTCTTCAGGGTGCTCCCAGACTGAAATCGTGCTCCTCTACTGCAGACCAGCAGGGCCATCTATCTAACTCTACAGGAAAAGGAACAAATGAAATCACTGCAGGTGGAGAGGGGAGGGAAGGGGTAGAGCAGCTGAGCAAAAGGCTCAGTCTAGTGCATTTTTGATCTTGCTTTTCTTCCAAGGAGTTCAGGGCTATGTATATCTTTGTTTCCTCTGTTGAGCTCACAACAACTCTGCGAGGTAGGCTAGTCTGAGAGGGAGGGAATTGGGTCACCCAGCGAGCTCATTCATGTCAGAGAGTGGAACTGAGCCCCGAGCCTCATCCGACACTCTGCCCACTCCTCCACACTATCTCATGCGTGGCTTGCCAATGGCATATGAACCAACCCAGTAAGTGGCTAATATTGTGTCTACTCTCCTAAACCACTGGCATAGCTAAATGTACTTTTGCTGCCACATGGAGTCATTAAAGTTTAGCTCACAGCATAATCAGAGGTTTTTGCTAAGCTGGGGCGGAAGTCAGTGCTCGGGCTGGCACAGCAGTCTTTTCCCACTGGGGATGCTCATGTTGGTGAAAACAACCTTTCCAGTTTGGAGGCCTGTTAAATCTCAGCTCGCCTGGCTAGCCTCTTCGTACGATCCTCTTTAAGTCATGTAACTCTTTGTTTGATGCTTTACCAGATCAGATAGATGAAAATTTGAAGCTGGCTCTCCAGCAAGATCTAACAAGCATGGCGCCTGGCCTCATCATACAGGTAAGCCAAAGTCACGAGACGAGACACACTTTGTCCAGAACTGGGCAGAAGGTCAGAAAGCTGGAAGGTAGACTTACTGTTGCCCTCCTTGCTCCTCAGGTAGACCAGCTGTCCTCTGTTTAGTGTTAAGGTTTGGCCCAGAGAAGGGGATCTTAGTTCTACGTTTTGCACTGTTTGCAAACTTGGGGTCCACTTTTCTGCCCCGACCCGGCAGTGCATATTTTAGGTGAAGGCGGATTGTGGATGCCTTTGTGTCTCCGCTTTCATTGGTAGCATTCTCAGCTCCTAGGTTACTCTTTGACGAGCTCAGGAAGCCTTTGTGGTTATTAGCAAGACTTTGTGCCCTGAAATGCCTACCCGAACAGAGGGACTAGGCCAGTTAAGAGGAATCTGTGGTGGCCCTTTCCTTTTGAGAGCAAGCACCTGGAAGTAAGCATTGTTCCTCTGCTGCCTGAAACCAGATCACCCTCATCAGCTGCCACTTGGATGAGGGAATGCAGCCCTGAGAAGATGGGAGATGGGGGTTAGAATGTTGGCTGTGGGAGGCATAGGGATCCTTCCAGGGACTGGGTGGTAGCTCATTCATTCCCTTGTCACACTGTGACAATGTGGTGTTCTGTGTCTCCTTTCATCCCTCATCCTCTCTTTTCTGTCCATCCAGGCGGTGCGAGTCACAAAGCCAAATATCCCTGAATCGATTCGGAAAAATTATGAACTTATGTAAGTATTAAGAATTCTCTTTGGCTACCAGAATGGTGGTAGTTGCTAGTGTAACTGGGCTGAGATGAATTCAGCTTTGTGCGTGCAAAATTGCATAAGGAATCTTCTCTTCAGTTCCAAGTACGACATTGAACTTGGTTTCCTGAGACCCTCCATTTCCTTTTGGTTCAAGAAATCAACACTGTGGGTTATACTGTTGTGGGTACATTTGGGAACACTGTAGTTAGTGGCTGCATAGTGTCCTAGAATTCAGGAGGCTAAGCTTTTGTTCTTACGTTGTTGGTTCCAGTTGTGTTTTCTCTCTGCCTCTCTAAATTTACAGAGGCTCATGTCGGGATTCAAAATAAAATATTCAGGTACAAAGCCACTTGTGTAAATGCTATTTGCATAATTATTTTGAGGGGAAAATATGGACTTTGGTTTGTTAGTCAGCATTAGCATTTCCTGGGGGAGAGGGGGAATACTGCTTTCTCTCTTAGCTAAGGTAGCTGTAGACTGCATAGTCATAGTTGGGGTATCCTTGAGCCTTAAGCTATCAGTTACAAACAGTAACCGGCATGGACCAAAGGGCATTACTAATGCTCTTCTTAATATGTGGCATTGGCCACCATCTGAGATGAGAAGTGTGCCTAGATGTCCCATCGTTGTGATCCAGTAATATTGTTCTTAAGAGCTTAGGTTTACCTGGCTCAGGTTATTTGCCACTTTCCTCCTGAATGTCAGCTCCATACATTAATGAGTCTCAATGAGTGCTTAGCATTGCACAGCACTCTGCTTTAGCCTTTCTGTACTCTGTTCCTAGTCTGTATTATTTGGTGCTCAAATAACTGACAGATCTTATTGAGCTTCAGGAGGCATGGGGTGGGCTGTGAATCTCTGTGGCCCTTGAGGTTGTCCAGCATCCCACTCAGACTAGGGCGTTCTTCCTCTGAAAGCGTCAAAGCCTGCTATCAGCGATTTACGTCCATGCTCACTTTGGTCCCTCTAGGGAGAGCGAGAAGACGAAACTGTTGATCTCAGCCCAGAAGCAGAAGGTGGTGGAGAAGGAGGCAGAGACGGAGCGCAAGAAGGCTGTCATTGGTCTGTACATCTGTAAAGGTTCCTTATTTGCAACCAGCTATGTGTGAGAGGCAGGAGGGCATGACCCTCAGGAGGGTGGGAGTCAGTGAGGCTTCAGCTGGAGATGCCTGGTTGGGAGAAGGTGATCGGAAGGCGGGATCAGGAAAGGCGCAAGTTGAAAGGTGGGGGGTCTGGATTGGTGATTTCGTCACATGGATCATAGCTTACTTCATAAGACTGGGGCTCTGTCAACAGTGCATCCCACCAGGAGATAAATGGGGTTGATACGGCTGCGAGAGTTGGACCATAAGAAAGGCCGAGCGCCAAAGAATAGATTCTTTTGAATTATGGTGCTGGAGAAGACTCAAATCAGTCAATCCTAAAAGAAATTGACCATGACTGTTCCCTGGAAGGCCAGATACTGAAACTGAACCTCAAATACTTTGGCCACCAAACGAGAAGGGAGCACTCACTGGAGTGCTTACTGGAGTTTCCCTGATGCTGGGAAAAATTGGAGGTCAAAGAAGAAGGGGACATCAAAGGATGAGATGGTTAGACAGTGTTATCGAGGCAGCGAACATGAAATTAAGCAAACTCCGGAGCAGGACGGAAGACAGGAGGGCTTGGCGTGATGTGGTCCATGGGGTCGCGAAGAGTCGGACTCAACTGTGCTACTGAACAACAACAACATAGAACACACAAAGCTGCCTTCTACTAACTCAGTGCACTTAGTCCCCTATTATCTACTTTCCAGGGTCTTTGGTAGAGAAGAGTCTTTACCCAATACCTTTACCCAGAGGTGCCAAAGACTGAACCTGGGACATGCAGAGCTCAAGCATTGTGACATGGTTTCCTCTTAAGAGGCTTGCTCTGTTTTGAGATTATGATTATTAAGATATGGCGAGTGATTTGGGGCTTAAGGGCTCACCATTTGGGGATATGCTTTCTCCCGTATATACTCAATAGGCAATTGAGAAGTACCATCAAGTCCCTGCTAAAGGTTCCATCTAATGGTGAGGCTAGATCAGCCTCCATAAGAAGCAGGGCCTTCTCTGTTACAGCCCCAGAGCTTTGGACTGCCCTGCTTTGTAGACATTCATGTGGGTCCCCATCACGGCTTGTCTTTTCATAGGCAACTGACAACTTCCCCGTTCTGCCTTTTTTGGTCGCTGATCTATTTGGACTCATTTATCCTGCTGCATTTTTGTTAATTCATACTGTTTTAATTGTGAGCTGCTCTGAGATTTTGAGAAGCAGTAAAAATGTTTTAAATAACTCAGAAAACTGTAATCATGAATGGGAATAGAGAAAGACTGTATGTGGCGTAAATAGTTAGAAACATGGATCTACCCTTATAAAAGGAGAAGTGACTTGACACAGGAAAGGAGGGCAGGCTGTTCACAATGTGCTTCTTCCTGCGGGGAAGCCAGGCAGGCTT